TTTCACCACAGATGGCCTCTCAGGCAGGCTGGCCCCCACCTCCTCCAACAGACCCTTCTGACCTGCTGTTTCGGTGTAGGTTGGACACCGACATTGGCAACTTCCTGAAGGTGTGGAAGACCCTTCCTCCCAGCTCGGCCAGCATCTCTGAGCTGAGGGATGACACGAGAGAGTCTGGCCCCCCAGAGAGTCTGCAGAATGTGGAAGAAGTCAGGGAGGAGGAGGAAGAGGAGGAGGAGGAGGATGAGAGACAGGACGAGGAGCAGAGAGAGGAGCAGGAGATGCAGAAGCTGGCTGAGGAGGAAGAGGAGGACCTGGACTCTTCGCTGATGTCCGTGTTCGGGGCTGAGTGCCCTTCCCTCTCAGAGGAAATCCTCAGGTGCCTCAGCCTCCACGACCCCCAGGACGAGGCCCTGGACATTGATCTCCAGCCGGCAGTGGCCTCTCCCTCACTGGGCATCCCCTGGGATGGAAAGGCTCCCTGCCAGCAAGTTCTTGCCCAGCTGGCCCAGCTGACCATCCCCAGCAACTTCACCGCCCTCTCCTTCTTTATGGGGTTCACAGACTCCCACCGGGACGTCATCCCCGACTATGAAGCCCTCGTGGCGCCCTTGCACAGCCTCCTCAAGCAGAAGCCGGACTGGCGATGGGAGCTGGAGCACGAGAAGGCCTTCCTGGCCCTGAAGCGAGCCCTGGTGTCCGCTCTCTGCCTGTCCGTCCCCAACCCCCAGCTGCCCTTCCACCTGGAGGTGACGGTGAGCCAAGTGGCCCTGACGGCCGTTGTGTACCAGGAGCACTCGGGGAGGAAGCACCCTGTAGCCTACACCTCGAAGCCCCTCCTCCCCGATGAGGACAGCGAGGGCCCGCAGTCGGGGGGAGACAGCCCCTACGCCGTGGCCTGGGCCCTCAAGCATTTCTCCCGCTACATTGGGGAGACCCCCGTGGTCCTGGACCTTTTCTACGCTTCTCGGACCTCTGTGGACCCTGAGGCGTGGGACGGCCGCAGGGTTGCCAAAGCGTGGTTGATCAGATGGGCCCTTTTGGTACAGGACAAGGGCAAGAGAGCGCTGGAACTGACCCTTCTCCAGGGCCTGCTGGGGAAAAACCGGCTGCTGACTCCCACGGCTTCCATGCCTCGATTTTTCCAGGTTCTGCCTCCTTTTTCCGACCTGTCCACTTTTGTCTGCATCCACATGTCGGGGTACTGCTTTTATCGGGAGGATGAGTGGTGTGCTGGCTTCGGTCTCTATGTGCTGTCTCCCACCAGCCCCCCTGTCTCCCTCTCCTTCTCTTGCTCCCCTTACACCCCGACCTATGCCCACCTGGCGGCCGTGGCCTGTGGCCTGGAGCGTTTTGGCCAGTCCCACATGCCCGTGGTTTTCCTCACGCACTGCAACTGGATCTTTAGCCTCCTCTGGGAGCTCCTGCCCCTTTGGAGGGCTCGGGGCTTCCTCTCCTCTGACGGGACCCCACTACCTCACCCAAGCCTGCTCTCCTACATCATAGACCTCACCTCTGGCCTCTCATCCCTCCCGTTCATCTATCGAACCTCCTATCGGGGCTCCCTATTTGCTGTGACGGTGGACACCCTAGCCAAGGAGGGTGCCCAGGGGGGCGATCAGTGTTGGAATTTGCCAAACGACGTGCCGGCCCCCGTAGTGACTCCCCGTACCCTGTGCAAGCGGCCCGACTTGCTGGCGTTGCAGCGGAGCGACAGCACCCTGGCCGATATCATGGCCAAGCTGCAGGCCGGGCAGAAGGTATCTAACTCCTCACCCTTCAGTTCTGCCTTTAGCTCCCTCAGCCTCGACAAGGAGAGTGGCCTGCTTATGTTCAAGGGAGACAAGAGGCCCAGGGTCTGGGTGGTCCCGAGGCAGCTCCGGAGGGACCTGATTTTCTCTGTGCATGATGGCCCCATGGGGGCCCACCAGAGGCCCGAGGAGACCTATAGGAAGCTGCGGTTGCTGGGGTGGTGGCCAGGGATGCAGGAGCACGTGCGACATTACTGCAGGAGCTGCTTGTTCTGCATCCCCCGGAGTCTCCTAGGCAGTGAGGTGAAGGTCATTGAGTCTCTGTGGCCCCTCAGGTCCACCGCCCCCTGGTCCAACCTGCAGATTGAGGTGGTGGGCCCGGTCACCGTCAGCGAGGAGGGCCACAAACACGTGCTGATCGTGGCTGACCCCAACACCCGGTGGGTGGAGGCGTTCCCGCTGAAGCCTTACACGCACACGGCTGTGGCCCAGCTGCTGCTTCAGCATGTGTTCGCCAGGTGGGGCATTCCCGTGAGGCTGGAGGCTGCCCAGGGCCCCCAGTTTGCCCGCCACGTCCTGGTGAGCTGTGGGCTGGCCCTGGGAGTTCATGTGGCCTCCCCGAGCAGGGACCTCCAGTTCCCCTGCCTGACGAGCTCCGGGGCCTACTGGGAATTCAAGAGGGCCCTCAAGGAGTTCATCTTCTTGCATGGCAAGAAGTGGGCGGCTTGCCTGCCCTTGCTGCACCTGGCCTTCAGGGCCTCCTCCAGCCAGGCCTCGCCCTTCCACATCCTGACAGGGGCCGAGGAGAGGCTGACGGAGCCCCTGTGGTGGGAGATGAGCAGTGCGAACATCGAAGGGCTCAAGATGGATTTATTCCTGCTACAGCTCACGAGGGAGCTGCTGGAGCTCCACTGGAGGGCGGCCGAGAAGACCAGCGAAAAGGCAGAGAACAGGCGTTTCAGGCGCGAGAGGCAGGAGAGGGAGTGGAACGTGGGGGACCAGGTCCTCGTGCTGTCTCTCCCCAGGAATGGCAGCAGTGCCAAGTGGGTGGGCCCCTTCTATGTCGGAGACCGGCTCAGCCCGTCCTTCTACAGGGTCTGGGGCTTTCCCACCCCAGAGAAACTTGGCTGCATCTATCCTAGCAGTCTGATGAAGCCCTTTGCCAAGAGCGTCACTCCGCTGTCCTTCAAGGTCTTGGAGCAGTGAGCTGGAGCAGTGGGGGAGCCCCCTCCCAGGGCCCTGGGCTGCTGCTGCTAGGTCTCCCCCTGCCCCCAGGCACGCTCTCACAGCCTCCCCACCCCTACCCCCGGGACTCTTCACTGTGCCTTTTATAGAGAAGTTACTTCACAAAGCTTTGCTGAACTGCCTTGAACTGGGGACCAGCATCCCTATGAAACATCTCCCCAGTATGGGGTACTGGGAGAATCTGCTGAAGGCTCTCAGATGTGGGCCTCTGGCAGGTCTACCCTGGGGAGCAGAGAGTTCCTTTCCCGAGGTAGGCCGGGTTCAATGTCTCTCCCCAAGTGAGAATGTACACACACATACACGCACAGCCCGGAATCTTACTCCTGGCTGTCCTTACCATGAAATGGTGTGGCTCTGGACCTCAGAATTGAAATCACATTCCCTGTCAAACAGAAACCCCGGATACGGGCTCCTCCCCCGTCTGTCCATTTGGGGAACCTTTGCCCTTGAAGCCGTAACAGCTGAGACAAACCCATGCAGTCTAAGGAGAGGCGCCCATCCTCGGGCTCATGGACCGCCTTCTCAGGCCAGGCTAGGCCTGCCCATCGATCAAAGAAGGACTGGGAGTCCTGGGCCCCGAGGCTTAGAGCCTCAGGGGAGGCTCGGTGGGAGGATGCCAGCCAGGTGGGCTTGTCCTGCCCGTCGGCTCCGGAAGGGCAAGGGGGAGAGAGTCAGCCTACCTCATTTGACTCCAGCCAATGGAGACGCTCCCTGACCCTGGGTTTAAGGACGTGGACCCTACAGGAGTCAAGGATCTCGATGCCAAGTGTGGCATCTCTACCTGAAGAGCTGCTTTGACTAGACCAAGGGGCCCAGGCCTCTGTTTTGGGTTCCTGGGGGGTCACTGAAATGAGCAGTCTGGCACAGAGTGGTGCTGGCGTGGCTCTTCATTCCAGCCCCACCCCGAAACCCACAGCCCCCTCCTCCCACCACCCCTGTGCGCTGCATTCCCGGACCCTACAGAGTATGGCTGCTTTGTCTGGGTTCTCCCATCCCGCCCCAGTCCCCTGGATTTGCCTTCTGTGTAGAGACAATCCTGGCTCCCCCCAGCCACTCTTTGCAGAGATCGCTCACTGGGAGAGTGCGTCTCCCACAGGTGTGTGTGCCTTCACTCACCCTCTGAATTGCTGCTGTCGCCAACAGAGAGGGTTCGAGGTGGGGGCCAGCGCTGTCACTCTGGCTGAGCCTCTGTGCAGTTTCATTTCTCCAAAGCTGAGCCGGTCTCCTTGCCTAGCTCATGTTGCCAAAACACTTGATATTGCTAGAGCCAGAGTAGTACTTGCCATCAAGTCCAATTTGCTTGTTTTACAGCCAAAGAAAGAGGCCCAGAAAGGGGAAGTGACTTGCCCAAAGCCAAACAGAGTTGGTGGCTGAGCTGGGACCAGGATTAAGCTTCTTAGTTCGCTGTTCACTGTAGGTGGGGGTTCAAGTGAGAGAAGCTCTTAAAATCCTGTACCCATCTTCCCTCCAACTCCCCATCTCCCAAATCTTGTAGACAAACTACTTAGGTGTTGCCCTTAAACCGTTTCTAGCTGTCAATTCTGTCCAGGAAAGAATGATTGGGTGACAGCTGAGACACTGAAAGGTGAGCCGTGGGGTTTTTAGCTGATACCTCTCTCCCCCTGCTCCTCCCCCTGCATGTCCCCCTCTTCTTCCCTTCCTCATCCTCCCTCTGATGGTCTGTTCAACCTCATTCTCCCTCCCCAGTGCTGTACCCATTCCCCTGTTAATCACATTTATGATATTATACCTGTTTGTGACCTTTTTTTTTCCATTTGATTTGTCAATAAAGGGATCAAAATGGAGCTCATGTCCAGATTTTTTGTTTGTTTTAACTTTAGACTCAATTATGGGCTTCCTGGTGGCTCAGATGGTAAAGAATCCACTTGCAGTGCAGGAGACCTGGGTGGAGAAGATCCTCTGGAGAAGGAAATGGCAACCCACTCCAGTGTTCTTGCCTGGAAAATTCCACAGACAGAGGAGCCTAGCAGGCTACAGTCCACAGGGTCACAAAGAGTCGGACACAACTGAGCAGGTGGGAATGAAGATGAATGAAGGCTGGTGTAAGAATGGCATCCATGCTGAACCAACTTGGCTGTGTCAGAAACACAGTAGAACTAGGTTTGAATACTGACTCCATGGCTGCGACCTATGTGGTCTTCTCCTGAAGTCTTGGTCTCCCCATCTGTCTATTGCAGGCTAACAATTCCTAAATTATGGATGGTGCAAGGATCTTATGAAATAATCCATGCAAAGATTGGCTCCTGTGGTGCGGGGTATGGAGTAAGCCTTAATCACTGGGATGGACTGGGTGTTTGTGTCCCCTCAGATTTGTAAGTTGAAATCTCAACCCTTAGTGGGATGGCATTAGGGAGTGGGGCTTTGAGGAGGTAATAAGGTTTAGATAAGATAACGAGGGTGGAGCCTCCAAGATGAGATGAGTGTTCTTTTAAGAAGAGAGAGAAATTGGAGCTCCTCTCTCCACCACTTGAGGATACAAAGAGCAGATGGTCATCTGCAAGTGAGGAAGTGGGCTCTTTATTAGACACTTGATTTGCCAGCCCCTTGATCTTGAACGTCCAGCTTCCAGAGCTGAGAAAACTGAATTTCTGTTGTTTTTGTTATAGCAGCCACAACAGACAAAGGCAATCACACAGCTCATATTTCTCTTCTTCCTGTCCTAGAACACTGGCTGTTATTGCCCCTCAGGCTCAGAGACCTTCCTAACCCTGGCCAAGCTTCCACACTTCAGGTGTCTGCTTCTTGCTGCTTTTCTCACTTGTCCACTCAGCACTGGTGGGGGGATTGAGGGGCAGGAAGGAATCCTCCTTCCTGAGAACTCCTCGGCTCATGTGGTATTTATAGAGCATCTACTGTGTGCCAGGCCCTGTCTAGTGTGGAGTGAGTGGAGGTAATGGGAGTGGCATGGTCTATGCCCCTTTGGGGCCCCCTGTCAGGTCAGGGAGGCATTTCAACAAGCAAATACAGTGCAGAGTGGTAAGGGAAGTAGCATGGTGTAGGAGCCCACAGCACAGGAGCCTGAAGCCTCCGCTCACACATGATCCAGAGGCGTCATGTCTTCCCTGACCCCCTTCACTGAAAATAACGCATGTGCTCTTAGGACGGGGCAGCAAGAGAAAGGTTCATAACTCCTAAGAGGAAGTTGATCCAGAAGGGGCTTGGCCAAATCACTACTTTCTATTCAAGAAAACTTTAAGTAATACTCCTATTTTACACACATTGGCTTATGAGCTTCCTGTTGGTGAGATTTCTCTTCTTCACTGTTGAACAATTTACAAGAATCTGATTTGAGATTCCCCCTATTTTTAGAGGGGCAAATAAAGAAGATGGTTCCACAGTTGACCACTGTGGACACTGCAGACCACTAGTCACTGCTTCTCTCCTTTATACTATCATAATTTCCTTTTCTCGTTTTGGGCACTGGCAGCTGAGTTTCCCAAGTCTCAACCACAGAAATTACAAAGTCATCAGACAGTCCCAGACATAAACAAAATATAGAGAACATTCTATACTGTATCACACTAAAAAGTACTTAAATTACTAACATAACACTGTAAATCAACTAAACTCCAAAAAAAGTTTTTTTTAAATACATAACTATCTGGTGAGATGGGCACCCCCTAAGCCTTGCTATATCATGTTTTCCTAGGGACTCTTTATGATATCCTTGTGTTTCTGGGTAGAAGTGAACACATCTGAAAGAAAGAAGCATTATAGCAGGTAAATGGCAACAATAAAACAATACAAAAATCCTACCCACTGTAAAAAGATTGTCCAAGAATCCTTGGGACATGCATTAGTTTTGACTTGTTTCTTAGTTCCTATGGTAACAGTAACTTACATGTATTAGATACTTGGTCAGTGCTTTCCAATCCTGTGGGATAGATACAATGTTTCCTCTGTTTTGTAGAGGAAGATAATAAGGCAAAGGGAAGTTGAATAATTTGCTGAAGGTCATGTGCAGCTATTAAGTGAGAGGCTCCAATGCCCACCACCTTCACCACCATGTTCACTGTTTGTCACACAAGTATATTTATTTTGTTGCTAGAGTTACTTTCTCCCCACTAATCTATGGCCTCTCCGTCTTTTGTTAATGTATTCTATTAATATACATTAGTATAATGTATATTAAGATTTCTCCATTTCAGTTTGGTCCAGATTAAGACAATTTACAAACTAAAACAGCTGGTCTACTTAGTTGGGTCCAAGAACAATTCTCTTGGCCCTGATCAATTTTGACTCAAATGCCATGCCCTTGATTTCTGAGCCATAATGAGAAAAAAGCTATTTCGAGTTGCTATTTAGGCATTTTACAGTATAATGACCCAGTGTCTGGACATTTGGATAAGGACTTGAGTTTAGGATTCCTGTCCCAAATTACCACTTGCTTTTCCTGGGGTACCTTGGAAAATGACCATTTCGAGTTGAACCTGTGTAAAGTTAGTGACCTGCACCCCAACTACCTTTTATATAATATGCTCTTGCTAGCCTGTTCACATGTGAACTGGGTCAGAGCACTGCCCTTCCCCTTGCTCATCGCCTCCCTTTCCCTGGTCCTGGTTTCTGGGATCTGTAAGTAATAAGTCTTTCAATTTTACTTCCTTTGTGGATTGTACTATACCTTCAATCAAAATGACTGCCTGTTTTTACTTCCCCAGCTGGGCAACTGAGGGAGTTATTTGCTGATCCTATGTGGTGGCTTGTGCCTCCTCATTTAGCAGATCATAATCTGCATATCCTTAATGTACCAGCTACATGTCCCCCAACACATAAGGGGTGCCATTTTTCCCTCAGCTTAATAAATGGTGCTATTTTGTAAGTTTCTACATTCCTATAGGTGGCGAAAAATGAATCAAAGGAGATTGCAGTATCTGGATTGCAAAGGACCTAAAAAAATCTCATTAAGGAATATGGATTTGATCCTAGACCCTCTCCCCCCACAATCCCCTAAAGGTCTTTAAGGCAGTGAAGTTCTTTTAACTAGATCACTATGGCAACCCCAGTGTGAAGAACAGACTCACTGAAGGCCAAGGGGCCAGTTAGGAAGCTTTCCTAGAACTCTATCTGTGATTTCAGTAGTTTGAGCCAGGATGGGTGGGAAACAATGGATGCAACTGATGGAGGTGAGGGACTGGATGGGGGTTGTGGGAGAGGGAGGAAAGATTGTGGCTGGTATTTCCTTGGGGCAACAGGGATGGTCTATTTTTGGACACAGAGAATAAAGGAGGAAACAGATTTAGGGATGAAAGACTAATTTTAGCAGGTTTACTTTAAGGTGGGATAGGCAATGTACAAGTCTGAGATTTAGGAGGGAGGTTCCGTAGATTAAAAAAATGTGGAAGTTCCACAAAGAGTCAGATGGAGACTCGTGCTTTTGAGATTGTGTCAGGACAAAAGGAATTCTAAGACAGAACCTCGAGAGAAACTGACATTTAGGAGATGGGCCGGGGTAGAGGAGCCTGAAAAAGGCCTCAAGAGAGTTGGAGGGACAGCCCAGAGCGTGTGCAGTCAGGGAAGTGGAGGCAGGGGAGTGCTTCTAGAAGGAGCGGGTGGCCAACAGGGTCAAATGTTAGGGAGAGCCTGAGCGACAGAGGACTAGACGATAGTGACATTAGTGACGTGGGAGGCCTGAGTGACCAGCTGAGGGCAGTTCAGATAGAGCAGCAGAGGCCACAGTTGACTTAAGGGGTGAGCAACCAACTGGATGGGGGTTGTGGGAGAGGGAGGAAAGATTGTGGCTGGTATTTCCTTGGGGCAACAGGGATGGTCTATTTTTGGACACAGAGAATAAAGGAGGAAACAGATTTAGGGATGAAAGACTAATTTTAGCAGGTTTACTTTAAGGTGGGATAGGCAATGTACAAGTCTGAGACTTAGAAGGGAGGTTCTGTAGATTAAAAAAATGTGGAAGTTCCACAAAGAGTCAGATGGAGACTTGTGCTTTTGAGATTGTGTCAGGACAAAAGGAATTCTAAGACAGAACCTCGAGAGAAACTGACATTTAGGAGATGGGCCAGGGTACAGGAGCCTGAAAAAGGCCTCAAGAGAGTTGGAGGGACAGCCCAGAGCGTGTGCAGTCAAGGAAGTGGAGGCAGGGGAGTGCTTCTAGAAGGAGCGGGTGGCCAACAGGGTCAAATGTTAGGGAGAGCCTGAGCGACAGAGGACTAGACACTAGGACTAGCGTCACTAGTGACATTAGTGACGTGGGAGGCCTGAGTGACCAGCTGAGGGCAGTTCAGATAGAGCAGCAGAGGCCACAGTTGACTTAAGGGGTGAGCAACCTGTGCGCATAGATATCTGGCTCTAAAGGGGAGGAGAGGTGACGCTCACTAGCATATAAGGCTGAGGGTAACTACACGTCTACCACTGTTTCCACATCCATCTCTTTCTGTTTTAGATTTAAGAGATTTGAGTCTATTTAACAGCTAAACAGAAGGAGGAAGAGAGGGGAGGGAGACATCGAACCTACAGGAGGGAGGAGAGGAAAAGAAAAGGCTATGTTTGCAGGAAACGGAATCCACGACTGGTGGATGGAGATAGTGCCTTGATGGAGAGAAGGACACGACTTCTACTGAGCCAGATAGGAAGGAGAGATGAGGAAGGTGAGTTTCCGGATATGCTGGTGGGAGGGTCTCTCCTGGGGTTTCTGCTTTCTCAGTGAAGCAGAGTGAAGAGTCTGCTGCGGGAGGTGGGGGCAGAGTTGGAGGAGTAAGAGGTTTAAGGACAGAACAGAAGTCTTCAGCTGGATTCTGGGGAGGATGAGAAAAGAAGCTGGCAAAGAAAACCACAGAAGAACTGCTGGGAGGACAGAGGACCAGGGGCAGCTAGAGACCATGGATTTAGAACCACAGCATATCCTTCAGCAGGACTTCTTTGTAGCAATCAGCTGCCAGGGCGTGGGTGTAGAGAAGGTGGACAGTTGGATTCTATTCTTAGGTTCCTTAAAGTCCTAGGAGATTTTTGTGCCTGAAGAGGAACACTAGCCACCATCTGTGCTTTATTTGTTGTCTAATTTATTTACTTCACAAAACTACTTATGCAAAAATTGTCTATATATTTAAACACTATTTATATAACCAAGTCAAAATCTATACATTTTGCAAATCAAATTATCTAAACATTAACCGCAAATTTAAATCTTCCTACACATTTCAATAGAATCATCATTATAATATGTCAGCTTCTCTACACGCTTCAAACATTTTGGTAAAGCACATGTATAAGGATTATAAACTTTTTTACACTTAGACTCATTATAAAACTGGGTTTGTAAACCCAAGAGGACATTATCTCAATTCAGACCAATTATTGAATTTAGATATCCAATAGAAGAATATTATCTCAGTGAGATGATGTTTTGAATTGTTAATCAAATTATTAATTATTATCATTAATTATGAATTCTTGGTTGGGACTTGGGAATTACTTGACCTTCTAAGATGATGAAAATATGAGCCAGTGTTTATCTTATACATCACTGGAACTTTTCAAGTCCACACTTTTCCCACAAATTAGTGTAATGTAACTGGATACTTTCTCTTTAAATTATTTCATCTTTAAGTGTAATGATTATAACATGCAAATGTCCCAAAGATGTCCACACCCAAACCTCCTGTGTTTAATGGTAAAGGGACATTTTCTATGTAATTAAAGTTAAAGGTCTTAGAGAGATTTCCTGGATTATCTGTGTGGGCCCAACCTAATCATATGAGCCATTAAAGTTAGAGAATTTTTAAAGTCAGAGACATAACCTAAGGGTAGGTCAGAGAAGTACTGTGAGAAGTACCTGGCCTGACCTTGTTGGCCCAAAGATTGATGGGTAGGAAACTCAATCCTACAACTATGAGGAACTGAATTCTAAATGAGCTTGGGAATGGATTCTTTCAGTTCAGTAAAGATGGCAGCCCTGCCTACATGACCTAATGAAATCCCGAGCAGAGAATCCAGTCATGCTTTGATGGACTTCTGACCTATAGAAACGGTGAGATAATAAATCAGTCAAAGTGTGTTAAGACACTAACTTTGTGGTAGTTGTTACAGGGCAATAGAAAACTAATACAATAACTTTACTGACATCATTTAAAAATTTATTTAGCTCATTTACATTTTTACAAACTCCCCCAATACCTCCAATATTGTTGTTTTCCCCAATATCCAATCTCCCCTTTTTTCTTATTATATAACTCCTGACATTTAGCTGGACATGGCTGCCTGGAATAAGGACTCATTTTCTAGCCTTTCCACCCCTACCTGATGTGGATATATATGACAAAATTCTAGCCAATGAGATGCAATCAGAATTTTTGGATGTACCTCTCAGAAAGCTTCTTTTAAAGGAAATGGGTGTGTCCTTCCTTCCTCCTTCCTGGGGACTGTAAGGCTGATGTAATGACTGGAGATCAAAGAGCCATCTTGGGTCAGAAGGTGATATGCTAAAGGTGGAACAGCAAGAAAGGAAATTGGGCTGTGATGATCATAAAACTGCCATCCACTCCGGGACTCTTTATTTGCAGATTCTCCTATGTGAGACAGAAATAATCTAACATTTTGTTTAAGCCAGTATTATTTTGGGCTTTATTGTTACTGTAATCTGATTATAATTAGTAGGGTAGTATAGAGGCTTTCTTTCCTAAGAAATGAAGGATCATGTTTGAGCAGTGAGCAGTTATCTTTTGGATGTTTGACTAATTCACCATCATGTAACACACTGCTGGAATTTCTTCCTTCCTAGTTGTAATATATGACCAGATGGTGCCAATCAATCTCTTTCATTTTTGGTGCAGTTCCAATTTTTTCTGGAATTACTCAGAGCTCTCTTGATCCACCCATCCCTACTTATGCAGATAAGAAAAATAAATGTGCCTTATGAGTAAATATAATATCTGCTATATTTATACTCTTCTACTTATCAAAATTAACTAAAAATATCCTATTATGGTCATACTTCTTCACTCAGTATATTAACTACATTTTTTGCACCTTGTATAGTTGCTTTTTTCTTTTTGAAAATCACAACAGAGTTGTGGATTTTAAAAATTCACCTTGTTCCAATTAACTATATTATTTTCCTTTTGATTATCAAATTGTCACAAATTCCACAAAGGTCAATTTGTGGAAGCCTATTAAAATTGGCTCCTTTGCCTTCATAGATCTACTCTATACATTAAAAAAAAAAATCTTTGCTTTTCGTCTTCACCAATAGGTTCAAGGCCTAGAGTTATTCATGGCATGGAACTATTCTCTGAGGGAGCCTGAATCCCTTTAAAGGTGAATAATATTTGAGGCAAAGATCCAGGTGCTAAGAATGCACATCAGATTTTCCCCTGATGTTTCACGCTACTTTAGTGATAAAGTTTGAAAAAGTAATTTCTTTTGGAAAACCACAACTTCACATTGGTATTTCCTATTTAACTCAAGCACTACCAAATCCTTTTTTATTTGACTCTAACATACAATTTTACATTTATTGTCTCTACGACATACCTTCTTGTATCCTGTAATCCCTGAACCTAGCTGTAACAGCATCTTCTCTCTTTAGCGATCCTATAGCATCTCACCGACCATCATTCTTTAATTACTTTAACGATAGGGTCATCCATGCTGGGCCAATGGGACAGAGAGGTGAGACAAAGTTTATAATACTGGCAGGAGAGTGGTTGAAAAGATGCACCATGGAACCCAAGGTAACAGGAAGTCTGAGAAGGAGGATAAGATGCCATAAATCAGGAGAAAGAAGGAAGGTTGTGGGATGTGTGAAATAGGTACAGTGAAGGTCAGTGAGAGAGCTGGGAGGAAGGAGGTGGTGGTCAGAGCATGGAGTGATCGAACTTCAGACTATAAAGGTAGAGCAACATTAGGAGGCAGCCACAGTCACTGATGTGTTCCATGCCTGGAGACCTACCATGGCCTGTGTGTGACCTACCTCTATCTCCAGCTGCCAAAAGAAGCTCTGTATACCTGCTCTCAGCCAAAGCAAACATACACACCCCATGTCTTGGGTGGAGAGGTGAGGGCCAGAGTCCACCTGGGACCTGCCACAAATAGATGCCTGGGTTCAACGTTTGTGGCTGCCCCAGTGTACATGGCAAGTGTGTACTGTGTTCAGGCTGGGTGCACGCCCCCTTCCTGCTGCACCAGTCGTGGGCTCTCTGCGCCCTCCCTACACTTCTGCTAGTGGCTGAGCCTTCCTCCTGCCCTGGCCCACACAGTGCTGGCTCAGCTTCTGACTGCAGTGGCTGAGACCTGTGATGCTGGCACTCCTCACAGGAAGGAGCCTGCTGGGTATGCTAAGGCTGGCCCATCTGGTCCCATGCAGGGGCCTGTCAGGCTCACCTGAACCACCTGTTCCCAAATAGCACCAAGCAGGAAGCAGGGGTGGCGGGGTGGGGGACAGAAAGAGCAGAGTCTGCAAAGTAGCACAGGTCTCCCTACCTGCCAAACCCTGCCCTGATCCGAGGACTGCAGGCAGGAGATGCAGTGGGAGGCTGGGGGGGCGCAATTGTGGGGGTGGAGTAAGAAGGGCAGGTCCTGAGATGCCAGAGCTCTACTCCTCACCTTGGATGTTTGGCACAGGGTCCCATGCAAGCAAGTGGAATAAAAATGCAGCCAGAGGGCATCTCTCTCCTGCCTTAAAGACTACTTCTGGGGTAGAGGGCAGAGGGCAAAGGTCAGGGGCTAGGTTTCCATCCTTGAAAGGCTTGAGTCCTCAGAGTGGGAAAATAAGGAAGCCAGAGAAGCTTGAATATTTCCAGCCACCCAGCAGGTTCCCTCTACGCAGGCGCAGAGATACCCGGTCTCCAGGGTCCAGGGGCAGCAGCACAGAGCTGGTGGCCGCCTCCCGGGTCACATCTGGATCGTTGGCAAAGGCCGAGACGACAGGCCATGTGTTCAGCATCAGGCTCACCTGGGGAGGGGAATCCAGTTAGCACCTCTCCCTGGCCCTTGTCCCAGGAACCCCACTTCCCTCCTTTACTCCAGCCCCAGAGAGACACTCTGGAACCTGGGAACCTGGGGCTCAGTGCGCCCTCCTGGATGGCTGAGAGGTGGCCAGCACTGGACTCTGTGCCTCCTTGACAGTCTCTGCTAAGCAGGCCCTGCCCCCACTTGCTCCTGGCCCTCCAGGATGTAGGTTAATTAATGGAGGTCTGCCTGGGGGTCCCCTGCGCTCCCCTCCTCCCTTCCCCTCTTGAGCCAGGGATGGGACAGGGCCTAGGGTTCAGGTCACCTGGACAGTTTGGCGGTTGTACACCTTCACCACATGGAATCGGAAGCTGTAGACACCCCGCACAGGTGCCACGAAGGAGCCAGAGGTGCGGTCAAAGCCACCTCCCTCGTTCACCAGGACCTGTGGGAAGCAGACCCTGCTGAGTGGGGCTGGGGGATGCCTGGGGCTCCAAGAAGCCACGGCATTGGGGGAAGGGGCAGTGAGTAAGGAAAGGAAGGGGTGGTAAGTAGACTAAACAGGAAGAATGGACAGATTGAAAAAGAAATGATGAGAAAGGGAAGGAAGGTATGGTGGGAGTGAAGGGAAAGCAGACGGGCAGTGGGCCCCACAGCAGGGCTATTTCCTTAGCAGCAGAGTGGGTTTGGATGGTGATTCCAGGTCTTTGCAGGGTAGGGGCATTACCTGGTCGAAGTAGATGGCTCCGCTGGTGCCATTGCTGATCTCCCCTGCGGGCTCGTGGTGGTGGCTGCGGACTGCAGCAAATGCCACTCTTCCAGGGGGCGCCTCTCCCAGGGCTGCTCCCCCTGGCCCTCCTGCAGCAGCTCTGCTGGGCTCACAGACCACCAGGCACTCGCCTTCCAGGAGGACTGGCTCTGTCCCCTCCTGGGCCCACCCGGCCCTCAGGGCCAGAAGTGTGAGGGCCAAAGGCAACCCCAGGCTGAAGGAGGGACCTGGCGGCCAGGGTCGCTTTGTTCCCAGCATGGCTGAGTGGCTCTGTGACCCACAAACCTTCTCTTTCTTCTCCTTGGTTCTTCCTGCCTCTCCCCCAGGCTCTCACCACCCCTCAACCTGCTTCTCAGCGCTCTCTCTGGGACTCCTGGTCACCTGGTCTTGGCGTCTCTCTCCATCCGTCTCCATGCCCCACGACTCTGTCCTGCCTCTCACTCCTGCTGTCACTGCAGTTCCCTCCTCCTTGGCCGGGCACAAAATAACAGCAGTTGGGCTTTGGGAGGGAGAGGAGAAATGAGACAGCCAGGCAGGAGGGCTGCAACCAGAACCCCAGGGCAGCCCCCTCCGGAGAGCGCTGCAGGCTGGAACTGGGACCACGGAGAACATGGGTTTCTGTGTAAGATTGTGAGTGCAGGTGTGTGTGTGTGTGTGTGTGTGTGTGTGTGCGTGCGCGCGCGCGCGCATATCTGTGACATTCCCTTCCTCTTCACTCCTTCCCTCTTCAAAATCCTTCACAAGTCAGCAGCCCTCTTAGCAGTATCTTTTCCACTGTTGGAAGAAAGGGAATGTTCTTGTGTTTTCCCAACTGTTTTGGTGGAAAGTGCTTGGGTCAAGGGTGTCACTATCCTGTGACCCTGGGCCAGTTTTTTCTTTCCCTGGTCTTCTATATCGTTATCCGAAGGGACTGGATTCGTCCCTTTAAGGCCCTCTTCACCTCCATCTCTCCATGAAGTGGTTCCTCATTCCTGAGAAACAACTGCGCGGAGCGACTCAAAACTCCGAGGAGCGAGTAGCGCTGACCCGGCAGGCTTGCAGCCACGGCGGGCGAGGGGGCGGGGCGGGGCGGGCCGGCCGGGGGGGGTGGTGTTGGGGAATATTGGGAAGGGAGATGGGCGGGAGGTCCTAGAGGGGTGGGGCAGGACTCAGGGAGGAGCTAAACTGTACATTATGGAAAGCCCCTCGGCCCAGCGTGGGGCGCGTGGCGCGACCGAGGGGGGCAGCAGAGGGAGGGGGAGGGGTGGGAGTGGCCAGAACCTCGGAAATGGCCGACGAGGGACCCCAGAGGAGAACCCAGTTCAAGCCCTGGTGAGGATTCAGCTCTAAGAGGCCGTCTTGGACCCGGAGGTTGCAGAGACCCGGAGGAGAGGGGCTCTTTCGTCACCTGTCCACTCCTTCTGGCCTCCAGACCCAGCTGGATCCTCCTCCCCGTTCCTGCTCAGGGCTGTGGTCGTCATTTTCCAAAGGCCACACGGCCATCCCAGATAGACAGTCTTGTTTATCCGTGACTTCGCCTCCGGGGAGAAGGCCCCCGTGTCCAGATAATCCGACATTCCCTCCCTATTCCAACTGGACTGAAGTGCTGTTACCTCCTGGGTTGTTTACAGGTTTGATAACTAGGTGCGACCTGTTGATAGCTGGTTAGGCTAGGAGACCAAGATTTGGGCTGAGGGGACATCAAGGCTCTGAGCTGCTTTCCCTCTTTCCAGGGTTGGGCGGCCAAGCAGCCATGCCTACCTGGGGGGCCGGCTCCCAGTCCCCTGACCGCTTTGCGGTGTCTGCGGAGGCCGAGGACACGGTGCGGGAGCAGCTGCCCCATGTGGAGCGCATCTTCAGGGTGGGGATGAGCGTCCTTCCGAAGGACTGTCCTGAGAACCCTCACATCTGGCTGCAGCTGGAGGGCCCCAAAGAGAACGCCAGCAGAGCCAAGGTGAATGCCTCTCCTTGACCCTTCCGGGGAAGCAGACTCCCTCCCCCGTGGAGGCAGGAGAGAGGAGGGGCTGGGGAGGATCTTCACTCCTTGCTTGTCTCACTGGCCCTGAGCTTTGAGGAACTTGCACATTCTCTGTCCATAGTTTTTTGGTTTCATTTCTGCTGTAATGACCCAGGTTCTGCCAGGGCTTGGAAATAAGTGATTCAGGTCAAATCAGTTTGTACTCTTTGGGAGAACAGAGATAATCTGGTTGGGCAAGCAGGCCCCACCAAGGAATTCACTGTGTGGTGGGAGGCCACATTGCTTCCTCTGAAGTTAGTCAGGGCTTCCAGTAAGGCACCACCACTGAATACTATCCTTGTAGTCCTAGTTTCAGTTTCCTTATCTTTAAAGTATGAATAATAACAGTATCCACCTCACCGAACTTACTGTGAATGAGATAAAGCACGTAAGGCATAATGCATGACTTCTGTAAAAGTTAGTGTTGATCGTTATGATGGAAATATGCAACATACATACACACACATAAATGTTTAGAAAAGACGGCCTTTTAACCAACTACTTATAACAATATCTTAAGTTGAGTTCTAAATGGAAATTCAGCCACAGGTTGTCACCTGAAAAGGGACAGAGTGAGTTTCTCTGTCCTCTTTTAATCCCCACCTTTTCCAGGATCTATAGGGCTCCATTTCTCTGCCCAGGCATCCTGGAGCTCAGGAGACAGCAGTGGGCCTGCAGGGGCTATCGGACCATTTAAGATTCCAGCAATCTCCTTTTTCTCCCTACTTCCCTTCCCTCCCTTTTCTCCCAGGAGTACCTGAAGGGTCTCTGTAGCCCGGAGATACAGAATGAAATCCACTACCCACCCAAACTGCACTGCATCTTTCTGGGAGCCCAGGGCTTCTTCCTTGATTGCCTGACTTGGAGCACATCTGCCCACTTGGTGCCGGGAATGCCCGGCTCCCTGATGGTCAGTGGGCTGACTGAGGCCTTCGTCATGGTCCAGAGTCGAGTGGAGGAGCTGGTAGAGCGGCTGAGCTGGGACTTTCGTCTGGGGCCATCCCCTGGAGCCTCTCAGTGTGCTGGAGTGCCGAGAGAGTTCTCTGCCCTGCTGCAGGCCCGGGGGGATGCCCACACAGAGGCCCTGCTGCAGCTGCCCCAGGCCATCCAGGAGGAGCTGCTGAGCCTGGTGCAGGAGGCATCCCGGGGGCAGGGGCCCCAAGCATTCCCGTCCTGGGGGTGGGGCGGCCCAGGTCCGCTGGGTGCTCAGCAGCAGGGAGTCAGGACTCCCCTGGGTGATGGTGGAGTGTCTCTGGACACGGGACCTACAGGGTGGCAAGAGTCAAGGGGAGAGAGACATGCCGTGGAGAAGGAGGGAACAAAGCCGGGTGGTGCCAGGGCGATGAATTTGGGGTGGAAGGAGTGGCTCGGGGAAGAGGCCTGGGAGAGACTAGTGGCCTTCAGGCCACAGTCAGGAGGGGGAGAGGCCGGGCAGGCAGGGCCTCTGAAGGGGAAGGCCCTGGGGAAGGAGGGAGTTCCCCAAGAAAGAGGAAGGCTTGGGGTCCAGGGCCAGCCTCCTGGTACCCAGGGCCTCTATCAGAGGGCATCTCAGCTCCGGGGAGCCTCCCTCCTCCAGCGGCTCCATAATGGGGAAGCCTCACCTCCAAGAGTGCCCAGCCCCCCACCTGCGCCTGAACCCCCATGGCACTGTGGGGACCGGGGGGACCGCGGAGACCGGGCAGACAAGCAGCTGGTTGTGGCTCGAGGCCGGGGGTCTCCGTGGAAACGAGGCACCCGAGGGGGCAACCTGGTGACTGGCACACAGCGTTTCCAGGAGGCTCTCCAAGACCCTTTCACCCTGTGCCTTGCTAACGTGCCGGGCAAGCCAGACCTCCGCCATATTGTCATCGATGGCAGCAACGTGGCCATGGTGTGAGTACCTGGTGGGGCTGAGGGTCCCAGGGAGGGGGATGAGGTAGAGATGGGCAGTTGTGTTCATCTTGGGGACATGTGCCAAGCGGCGGGCAGTCCAGCCAGGCTGCCAGGCCTCCACTCTAGGGCCCTTGAGTGCTGACCCCTTCCCACTGCAGGCACGGCCTCCAGCACTACTTCTCCAGCCGGGGCATTGCCATTGCCGTGCAGTACTTCTGGGACCGAGGCCACCGCGACATAACTGTCTTTGTTCCTCAGTGGCGTTTCAGTAAGGACTCCAAGGTCAGAGGTGAGTTGGGCCTGGTCTCTTGTGTCTGGGGATGGGCCCCGCGTTCACCTCGGGGGTAACCCCACCGTGCTCCTCTGTTTCTCTAGAGGGTCACTTCCTGCATAAGCTGTATTCCCTCAGCCTGCTCTCCCTCACACCCTCCCGGGTCTTGGATGGCAAGAGGATCTCCTCCTATGATGACAGGTACTTGCTTCTCTCTTATCCACAGACTCGACATTCAGGGAGCCTGGTGGAAGACTGAGGGGGAGACAGAAACTCTGGCCCCTTCACACTGTAAGACTTGAGTGGTGGGAAAAGGGCCACTTCTCCATGTGCCCCTATGATTGGGGAGGTAAACCTGCCCTGCAGACAGGATGAGATGGATGGTGGACAACTCTGTTTCATCCTTCACTTTTTCACTTATCAAACTAAAGGATGCTTCGTATTTATATTAATAGTACCATCTTAATGGTACTGTTTTCTAGATGGTAGTACCTTACCATCTAGAAAACACTGGTTTAATGGAGATATGGGAAAGCCGGTGATAGGAATAGCTAACTGCCAAATGCCTCTTACAACCTAGATGTCCAAACACATAGAGAAATTCTCCAACCTTCTGGGAAAACCAGAGTAAACGATCCAAATAATGATAAATAAAGAATGGATTCCATGCATAATACGGCTGTACAAAACATGGTATTCAAAAGAAGATAAGTGAAAGATCAGTGGTCTTAGAATTTGAAGGTCTGAATCTGAGTCTCCTTGCATAGTCACTGTGGATTCTCTTAGTGGATTAACCTCTTTGTCTCAAGTTCCTCTTCCTTTCATTCATCCTCGTTGTGAATGTCAAAAGAAGCTAAGGTACGTGCTTGCCTCACTCAAGGTGCTCTGTTGGAGGACAGTGATATTCTTTAGTTTTTCACAGACTCAATCAAGTGTGGCCGCGTCTTCTCTCCATTGTACAGAAATGGAGACCGGGTCGTACAGAAATGGAGACCGGGTCGGAGTAGTTAATTCTCTTGGCAAAGGTTATGACGTGGCAAAGGAAGAACGGGAACTTAAAGCTGCTAGATGGTTTAACTGAAGAACACAAGACATGTCCTCCCTGATGTACACAGTGTGGGAGACAGGTGGATCTTACTTATTATTACTATTTTTTAATAGACTTTTTCCCCTCCCTTTGGCTACACTGGATCTTTGTTGTGGCCTGTGGGGTCTTAGTTCCCCCAACCAGGGACTGAATCCTCATTCCCTGCATTGGAAGGTGTATTCTTAACCACTGGACCACCAGGGAAGTCCCATGGGTGGATTTCAAAAGCTAACTAATTTGAAAAAATTAAGGTGGTAAGTTCTTTATTCTCTAGGATTCTTAGTTTTAAATTAAAAAAGAGTTCCCAAGCTGTACCGATTATATATTTTGTTTTTTCAAATGCTTAGCTTTTACTCCCTAACAGGTATTCTACAAAAAAGACAGTTCACATTCTCCCAATGCAGTTCTGTTTTATGCCTAGATTTCACAGGTTATCTGAAATAGAGAACCTTCTTTACATGCCAGCATTAACACAGAATTAAAACTGAAGGTTGAGTCACTTGTAATAAATTTTGAAGACGTGTCTGTACAGTTGTATAGGTCCTGATAGGCAGAGGTACAATATAAATTTTGTATTTTGCCTAGTTACAGTGAAAAACACAGTGACGTAGCACAGACCTACTGAATACTGTGGAACAACATACGATCTAATGTGATAATAGTACAATTATCTTTAATTTGAAAATACATGTTGTATATTATATGATACCATATATATTTATAATGTCATCTCTTTAATTTGTTTCCCAGACAGAAGCTCAGCCAGACATCTGTCATACTGAATCCTGATTAATGTCCCCTCTATACCA